GACACAGAATTTATACTATTATTTTATGATGGTCACCCAGAGTTAAACACAAGAAAGTGCAGGAAATCTGTCCACAACAGTAAAGACCCTGAATATTCAACCAAGGGCCTGGATCCCACAGTAATGTCCTGCATGAGTCCCGCTGAAGACCCAGAATCCATGCCAATGCTTCCCACGAGTCCAGCTGGAGGTCTAGAGCCCACAAGAAGGACTCACACCAATCTGTTTTACAGATCCACACTGGGAAGGCCCAAAGGTCAGTGGTAGAAGCTAGAAAGTCCATGCCAGCGGGGTGAAGGAGCTGTGCTGGTAGGTTGAGGGTTCTATGCTGAAGCCGAAGTCATACTTGAAATAAGGACCAGGGATTCCCTGAAAAGTACCATGGCCATCCTCAGTGACATGGAGGTCCTGAGCTTTTCCCACAATGAGAACAGTTGAATACATGCCAGGAAGTCAGCGTGACAAGTTTCTCCTGGAGATTAAACAGCACAGATCTTCTCCTCTAGAGCCCGGAAGTGATGCTTGATGTTAAGGACCAGAGCTCCCCAAAAGTGAGCCACAGCCACTCTTACCAACAAGGTCCTGAGCTCCTCCAGTAACAGTGGTCAAAGTCACACTGGGGAAGCTAGTCATGATGAGCTCCTCCAGGAGAACCAATGGATTGAACCAGCATTTAGGAGAACCCACAACATCTAGGTCTTCTTCTCCATGTCTCTATTTATGCTGGCAAATTTCCTCAGGTGGGCCATCTACACTCAGCATCGTGCTGATTTAATTCAGTTGGTGTTAAGTTGACACCAGTGTTTAATCCATAACACTGGTAATGTTTAAGGAAAAGCAGTTTGTTTAGTTCACAGTTTTGGAGATTCCAGAGCTTGAGGCCAGTATCTACTTAGCTAGGCTGCATCACAAAAAGCAGGGTGGCATTATGGTGGGAGAATGTGCACGAGGGACAGATTACATGTAGAAGTAAGAATAAGTCAGAGGCTGGGCTTGTCCTTTTTATTTATTTATTTTTTAAAATTTTATTCAAGGAGAAAAAGAAAAAAAAAGCATAAAAAGGGTACAAGTTATACAGAATTTCAGAAAGAATAAACAGTAGGAAATCACTAGTTAATAGATTACATATTGTTATCTTAGAAATAATTGTTCAAGTTACAAAATTGAAGCATATAAAGTGGACTTTCAAACAGTGAGACTGCAAACAGTTTTGTTCAATGATCCAACAAAACTCAGTAATATATATAAATCTTATACATTTAAATATACATGCAGTTATATCCTTTAGAGCACTTTCTTTTATACAATGACAATTACACATTTTGGGTTTTATTACTCCCATAGTTCTTATTACTTTTTTTTGAAGAGGGTAAAACCAAATGTAATATAACAGAACAGAGTCAGTCAAATCAAAAGGATGGACATAATAGATAATGTAAAAACAAAATATAAGGTGATCAACAATGGTTACCATACTACCTCTTGCTATCTTAAAAAGAATTGCCTATATCATCAGTTATAATAAAATTGAGCAAAACAGTAAAGAATAAAACCAAAACATTGGAGACATTACAGCACTTTAAAAGATAATAGTCAACCAGAATGGACATCATAATGAATTTTACTGTCTTCACAGTTGTGGCCTATACTTTTGAACTTGGTACTATCAAGCAAAGCAGAATAGGGGAAAATCGGTCAAAACAAGATGGTGAGGGCAACACAGGGTTTCAAATCAAGTTAATAGGAAATCAAAGTGGGTTACTATAATGTATCCTGCTATTTTTTATTCATTTTTCCCTTAGTTAAAAAGAAAAAAATAAAAAAGTAAATAATTAAAAAAAGGAGATTGAGATAAAAGAGGGCATAACAACAAAACAGTGCAGGTCAAAGCATAACCATTTAAGCAAGATAGTGTTTCACCACAAGATATCCTGGCATAAAAGTAGTTACTATAGTATCTCTTTCCTTGAAATGTTTGAGTATAACTTCGTATACTGTAGCACAAAACACATCAAGACAATGTAAAACCATTCAAGAGAATGACAGTATTACAGGGTATTTAGAACCAACTATCAGGAAATGAACAATGGTTTCTTTATAATCTCCTTGTCTATAAAAGTTTTTGCTTATATTATCACATATAATAAAATCCAATAAGATACAACCTGTTAAGACTGATGGAGACAGAAGAATAAAAGCTTGATGGGACTTCAAAACAAGATGATACTAAATCAGCACTAGCTATTATAATGTCTTGTTTTCTCCAAAATAGCTGTTCCTACCATCCAATCTTCTCTGCCTCATTTCTATTGAGATCTTTTCTGTTGTTTGTTGTCAGTTTGTCTTCTTCATTTCGCTTTCTGCTCCGTTCATTGTGGCCTCTCTGCCATTATTTCTGGAATCTTGGTATTTTCCTTTTTTAGAATATCCTGCAGTATTCTCTGTAGAGTTGAATTGGTGGTTGCAAATTCCCCTAGTTTCTCTTTATCCTGGAAGCACCTTGTTTTTCCATCAATTTCTAGGAACAGTTGTGCAGGATATATCCATCTTGGCTGGAGGTTATTATCTTTCAAAGCTTGAATTATTTCCCCCCACACTCTTCGTGATTTGATGGTTTGTGCCGAGAAGTCTGCTGTAATTCTGATGGGTGTTCCCTTGTAAGTGATCTGTTTCTTGTCTCTGACGGCTTTTAATATTCTGTTCTTATATTGGATTTCTGGAATTTTGATTATTATATGCCTGGGTATAGCTCTGTTTGGGTTGTAGGTGGCTGGGGTCCTGTATGCCTCATACATCTGAGTATCTTTACTTTTTGCTAAATTAGGGAAATTCTTTTGGATTATTTTTGTGAATGGCTTTTGTAGTCCATTTGTTTGTGTCTCTACTTCTTCTTTTATGTTCTTAATCCTTAAGTTATAGATCCTCTTATCATCTTCTAGCCTTTGTATTATTGCTGTTTGTTTTCTTGTTATTTTTAAGAAGTTTTTCATTTCATGCTCCCACATTACAAATCTGCCCTCCAGTTCAGATAACCTATCCTTAGTTTCTTTCAAGCTGTTATGCCAGCATTTGATAGAGTTTTTAGTTTCCTGGTAATCTCTTTGAACCTGCTTCACCTATTTTATGTTTTCTCTATTTTTTCCATCAAACAATTCTCCCCCTTTTTTCTGTTCTTCCATTCCACCATCCGTTTTTTTCTTGGGTGGTGCTTAGCATTTCTCTAACTATTCTACTTATATCTTGCCTTATTTCATTAAATACTTCTCTTTTGAACTCGTCTATGAGGCTCTGGAGATATTGCTTTATGTCTATAGGTGCCGTGTCTGATATTGCATGTTTTGTTTCCTCATTCTCCTTTGCATTCACCTTTCCTGGATCAGTGTTCTCAGGATTGGGGACTGAGGACCCTTTCTTGCTGCTTCCTCTTCCCATACTTTTTGTTCCTTCCATACAAGCGAATTATAGGAGGCCCAGTTTTTTTTTCTCTTTGTGTGTTACAGTTTGTTTGAATTGCGCCAGCTAGGTGTTCCCGCCCACTGCAGTGTAATAGGTTAGAAACAGATGTGGGCAGCCTCTGCTGGGCCTGCCCTTCCAGGTCAACCTACCAAAGGCTTCACTGCTAGGGTGCACCTCCAGGTGCTGGGACCTGGTTTGGGCTAGCCTATTGGGTCTTAGTGGCGTCACCCAGGCCAGGCACTCCCCACCAATCCCGCTTGAGAGGGGAATATGTGACTAAAGTTACTGCAGCATCCTGTTCTGGCAAGTCTGCCCGGTCCCAGTATGTCCTTTGCTGAAGCCTCCTACTCTATGGAAGGGTCCCCGTTCTGCTCACTCACTGCAGGTGGATGCAGAGCTCCCTGCCAGTCCCATTCTCAACTCTGTTCAACGATTCCCACTCTCAGAGTTTTCGCACGTGTGTCTCTCTGCAGTCCCTATTTGGACGCCGTAGCAGGAAATTCAAATCGGGGCTTCCAATGGCGCAGGATCCAGCTTCCATGCTGAGATTTTATCTGTTCCTGTTAAAGCACTGGGATTGCGTTTCAAGTTGGTTTGTCTTAGCTTAGTTCTTTCCTGGGTCGGCAGGGTATATCTCCCCTTGCTTAGGACTCCTCGCACTGCCCCATTCCTGGATTCTAAGCAGGGTATCTCAGAGAGCCTCCATAGCTGCTGCTATCTACCCGCCATGTTCTCCCGGAAGTTGTCCTTTTTATTTTTTTGAGATAGAGCCTCACTATGTAGTTCATGCTGGCCTCGAACTCACTATGTAGCACAGGTTGGCCTCAAACTCATGTTGATCCTTCTCCCTCAGCCTCCCAAGTTCTGGGACTACAGGCATGTACCACCACACATGGCCTGATCTTTTATAATCACCCACTCTTGCAGCAACTAATTGGGATTTCATGAGAACTACATTAATCTTTTCTGAAAGCAGTGCCCTTAATTATCTAATCACCTTTTTCTAGATTCCACCTCTGAAAGTTGTCACTATCTCAACACCACTACACTAGAGACCAAACTCTCATCCCCAAAGGTTTCAGTATATGAACCTTGGGGGTGGGGCACACTCTAACTGTATCCAAACCCAGCACCAAGTATACATACTTGTATTTGTAAAATTAATAAAACACATTAGTCTGTCTTGTTTTAATTTTATTCTTAGATGCAGCTAAAGATCTCATCTAAAAACTAAGATGGGCAAAGGTCATTGTTAGTCCCTTCTCCACAACTAATATGTGAATATATTTTGTTGTAAATGATTCAAGCAATTCATACTTGTGCATGTGACATAAATACATAGACGTTCTTTGTCACTCTTCTCCAGTAACCCCTTCTGCCCTCTCCTATCTCACTTTCAATGGGGGAACCATGAAAGTAAATGTATCAATATATGGAAAGAATTGGACAAGAAGATTTTAAAAAGGATCAATAATTATTTCTTGGGATAGATTTGTGAGGGATTTTTTTTTGCTTCTTTATATTTTCTATATTTTTTATAATAGCCCATATAGGAATAGGAAGCCCTGCTGGCTGGGAAGAGGAACCAGGATGGAAGCCACGCTCCTCTGTGAGTCAGTTGGTGCCTGGGCTGGGAGAGAAGAACAATCCCCACACCACCCTGTAAGCAACTGGTTGACTGAGAGGAATACAGACTGAGATGATAGCAACTGAAGTAAAGAAACAGCCTAAAGCTTGTATTGTTTGATTGACTTTGCAAGCCTAAAGCTAGTAGTAGTCTCAGCAAATATTTAGAGGGTAGCAATATGCAATATACTATGGTAGATTCCCTACTGTCTTATTTTTAAAATCCAATATTGGGTTCTCACTGTTTTGTTTCATTTTATTGTTCTGTTTTATTCCTTTTAAAATACAAAATAGTCCATATATTTTTTAAAATACAAAAATAGTTCATATATTTTTTACCTTTTGTGATAGTTAAGGTTAATCAATTGGTTTGGGAAACACCTGTGAATTAGTAAGTCACACTTTTGGCTGTGTCTGGGTGGGTCAAGGAAGTGTGGCCGTGGGGTTTGTATCTATGGGCTCTTTCTCTGTGGCATTTCCCTGCTCCTCCCTGACACTACGAACTTAGTGAATTTGCTTGACCATGCTATTCTGCCATGCTATTCTTGGAGTCAACTGACCATAGATTTAACCCTCAGAAACTGTAAGCCAAGTAAACCTCTCCTAATTTAAATTGAGGATATGCTGTCCAAAATATCTGTGTCTGACTGATACTGAAAATTGCTACCAGGGAAATGGCATCATTGCTATAACTACTCCATGTGGTTTAGGGGCTTTTAGAACTGTTTTTGGGGGAGAAGTTTGTAAACTTTTGGAGATTTGGGCTAGAGAAGCCCTAGAGAAAACAAGCTTGATGGGTAATTCTGGTTGAAGCCCAGGAGATCAGAATGCTAATAGGAATATGGAAAGTAAAGGTCAGGCTTATGAAGTTTCAGTTGGGAAAAAGGACTTTACTGGAAATCAGACTAGAGACCATACTTATTGTATACTCTGGTTTAAAAAAAAAGTCTACATTTTACTTGTGCTGAGACTTTGTAGGAGACTGTGCTGGAGGAAATTTCAAGGAAGCCCAGTGTTCAGGTTATGGCCTAGGTACTACTGGCTGCTTTATCTGGATTTGTAGTGAGAATTTGGGGTAAAACCAGAGCATAAGTATTTGAAAAACTTAAATTTTGGCTAGAAAGAAACATGTAAAGTTGAGACCAAAGTAGATGAGATTGCTGAAGTGATTGTGTTATCAAAAAGAAACCAAATATAATAATACCTCAGTTCACAAATACTTCTGTTGGGAAACAATTCCATTTGCAAACAGAAATGTTTGGCAAAAATTTTCCTTCTGTTTGCAAACACCACATCAGGTGACAAACATGACTGTAGACATCTTCTCCATATGAACACAAATTCAGCCATCTTCTCCACAATCATATAACAAATTAAGTTCATGAACTGAAATGCCACTGTACTTGGAACTAGCAAAAGAAGAAAGATGTCTTGAGGGCATCTCAGGAATCAGCAAGACTTCATCCCTTGCAAGATCAAGAATATGAAAGTATAAACCTTTCTTTTGAGAAGAGTGCCTCTGGGGCTGTTGACCCTTACTCAAGAAGGGATGCCAAGGGAATTGATTTCCCAAGAATCATTTCACTGTGCTCAGTCATTTAGGCACCCAGAGGCTGCTACAGTCATGGTCCAACAGGACTTTGCTATTGTTTGTGCTGGTGGCAAACCTTGGTGTTATCCACAAAATGCTAGTTTTTTTTTTTTCCAAAATGCTAGTTTTACTGGCACAGATTTTAAGAACTGTGGGGTCAAGGAGGCTTCTATCTAGATTTCAAAGGAAGGCCTAAGAATGTGTCCATGACAGGAGGATGTATAAAGCTGTAGGAATGAAGCTTAAAGGTTCAGTGAAGACTTCCAGAAAATTAGAGATGTCAGCAATATGGAATGTCTGCCAAGAAAAGTCATAGGCAGAAAATGGAACCAGCAGGAAAGAGAAGCCATATTGACTGCAGCTGAAGGGTGGAGTCTGCCTAAATCATTTGTAATTCACATTTCACTACCATGTAAGCTGGGTGCCAGACACAAAGCTTTAGAATTTAATGTTTGTTTGTTGGGTTTCTGTTATAGTTTGTGTCTCAATGTCCCCCCAAAGCTTCATACAGTCATTGGAGCCAGTTTCTAGCATTTGTGATTGATTCATGGTCCAATGCTGGAATTACAAGTGTGAATGTTATACCCACTCTAGGATGGGTAACCTACACACAATATAAGGCACAGAAAGAGTCTTGTTGCATGGTCCTCCCTTTCTGTTCAGTTGCTTTTGCTGTTTTCCACTGCCGTGAATGATTGCCCTCTGCCATGTGCCACTCTGCATTGGAGCCAGCCAAGTATGGACTGAAGCATCCAGAAACTATGAGCTAAATAAACTTTTTGTTTTATTTTATCCTTAATTTTGGGCATTGGGTATTTCATCTCAGCAACAAGATAAAAGTAACTAAGACAGTTTCCATCTTGATTTTGTCCAATTCTTTTAATCTCTCATTTTTTCCTTTTGGAATAGAAATATTTACCCTGTGCCACTATGCTTTGGTATTATGTAACTTAGTTTAGATTTTTTACAGAAGTTCATAGGCATTTCAACCTTGAGCCAAATGAACCTCTCTTCTTTACATTTTAGGTATTTTGTTTCAAAATGAGAAAACTGATTAATATACTTCTGTAATAATTTTCTTAAAAAAGAGCATGGCTTTTGAGATTCCTATTGTACAATGATTGTCTCCTTGGCATCAATTTTCTCATTTGTAAAAATAGACAATGCCGGGGCTGGGAATTTAGCTCAGTGGCATAAGCACCTGCCTTGCAAGCAGGCAGTTGTGAGTTCGATCCTTGGTACCAATAAAAACGAAAAAGACAAAAAAAATAGACAATGCTACCTCCTTTACAGGTTTGTTTTGAATAAAGTATATGAAGGCATCTGACAGATGGTTTTCTCTTATGGAATTCTCTCCTTCTAGTGAGAAGAAAATGGCTGTGTACAGGACTCCATTCTAGTTCATTACTAAATTTAAATTAAAAACATTCAAGAATCACAAAATTATGAAGATACTGTATTATATAAGAAGAAAAGCAGAGGAAGACATGTAAAAGAAAACTGCTAAAGAGATGTTCAATTCTGTGAATACTTAGTACCACTTAAAATGGTTAAGGCAAGTCTCCTATATGACCATAAAAATACTTTAAAACAAATCAGGTGTAGCTGCACACACCTGTAATTCCAGCACTTGGGAGACTGAGGCAAGAGGATCATTGCAAGTTTGAGGCCAGCCTGGGCTACAAAAGTGAGCTCAAGGCCAGCCTGAACTGCATGGCTAGACTGTCTCAAAAAGACAAAACAAAATAAAACAAAGCTTTAAAACAAAATTAGGAGGAGGAGTGGGAGAATCTCTTTCTTTCCCTACACACTTGAGCTCAGGTATCCCTTAACTAAGACGCAAAACTCACTTTTCACTTTTCCTTACAGAACTCCAACTTTTCCTCAAGGGGCTATTTTGGCCTTTGTTAATTCTATTCATGTAGCAAATACAAATCAAGATGCAGTATAGAAAGTGTCTTTTGTATTTAAGAAAATAGTGACTTGATTATATATATGGAACAACTCTACAAGTTGGCAAGCTGGGGAAGACTGGGGACACTGAGGAGGCACACATGGAAGACATATAAGCCTGTTAGAAGCTGTTGGCCCCGTGGGTCTTCGGGTCTCATTTTCAATTGCTTTTCCTGCATATTTTTTCCCTCCTGTATATTTTCGTCCTGGGTTCAACAAGAGTTGTAATAACACATTATGTCCACACTTGTGTTGTTCCTACTTTTTCCCCTTTACTATCCATCTGCTACTGCCTGTTCTAAGTAATCTGACTCAGGCAGTCAGTTATTTCTTTTCCTTTTTTTTTGTTGACACAGGGTCTCACCATGTTGCCCAGTCTGGTCTTGAACTTGGGATCCTCCTGCCTGGGCCTCCTCAGTCCGCTGGGATTATAAGTGTGCACCATTGCTCCTGGTGAACAGTCAGAATACAGATAGTCATTTATCCCAGTTCTTCCACAAGCTAGCATGCTCTTCTTGGTGCTCTGCATTTATGTTTTTCACAGTGGTCACCTGAGATGGGTGATATTATGTCCATCTTATAAATGCCCCAGTGGTATTATGTCCATCTCATAAATGCCCCAGTGAGGCAAGTGAGTTACTTCCAGCTTAAATAAATAAAGCCAGTAAGTGGCGGAATCAGGATCCAAACTTGGATCTTTTTGTCACCAGAGTCCACATTCTTTTCTTTATCCTTGGCAGGTCACTCCCCTTGCTCTAGCTGCAGTATAAAATGGGGGAAAATAAGAGCCAATAAAGCAGTGGGATTGGACTAGGTCAGTGGTTTTCAACTCTGAGTGCATATGCTGGCTCCTCCAGGAAGCTTTACAAAGAGAGGAGAAACAATTAACTGTTAGTTATTCTAACTAAGGTCCTGGCATCCTATAAAATTTCTGGATGAATCTAAAGGACACATGGGTAGACAGCCTCTGGTCTAGACGAGAGCTTTGCAAATTTGAATGTGCATCCAAGTCACCTGGACATTGGGTTGCAGATTTGACTGCATTAGCTCTGCATGAGCCTGAGATGTTACATTCCTAATAGGCTCCCTGACAGTGTTGATGTTATTGGGCCCTGGGTTGCACTAGAGGTAGAAGGGTCTGAAGGACCTCTAGCTTTCCATTCCTCATCCTTATCTATTACATATAAGCAGTATTTCTGTTAGCGGTGAAAATATGTGAAAGGGAATTGTGAAATGACACAGGTCATGTGATCAGGTGAAGCCACACAGCCTGTGCAGTGGGCTCCTATCCCAGCTCTGTTGCACACCAGTGAGGAGGGTCACTGAGTATTTTAGTCTAAGTCTTAATTTTCTCAGCTCTGAACTGAGGATAATAAACTTACTTATCTTGTTGGAAGAATTAAATGGGTTAATATTGGCAAGCTACTTTGCACATAGTAGGTGCCTGATAAATGGCAACTACTGTGACCACAGTGGATTCTAAAAATGGATTTTATCTTTAATCCAATTCCCAGGGCTCAAAGGAACTTTGATCTGCGCGCTCTTCCAGGAATATCAGACAT